CTTTTACATCCGCCTCGTCATTATCAGAACAATCCGCAACCTGCAAGCTGTTTCGGAGATTTAAACAGGTCTGTGGAGCATCGTTGGCCTTATCCTAAGAGCGCCATTAAAGCTATTTACAGCATCCCAGCTGGCTACCAGTAGCAGCACACACGTTAAGCTAGCATGGCTGCGGTTAGCGCGGCGCCGGTGGCTTCCAACGGCTGTCAACGGCTGCCCTACCGTCCTTCTTGACATTGCTTTATCTATCCACATTTCATTTTAATTACATCAAAAACGCAGCGCTTTATAAACCTACATTTATTCAACAACAAAATTTGATGCTGAGGACGTCCGCCCCCGACGTTATCTCCATCAACTCACAGTTTCTTTGTTGCAAAGTCTGGCAATTTGCAGCCGGCGCAAGCACTGCGGGATTTCTGGAGAGAGCCGCACCGGTCGCCCTCGAAAGGGAGCTGAGAACTTTCAAATATCCAGCCATGTCTTTCTTTCCCGGGCCCAAAACACTTCTGCGGTCAACACTCGACGAAACTCAAAGGGAAGAGGGGGCGATGAGCTCCGGTGATCGCTCCAATATAGTTGGAGTCAGCAGCACCGCCCTTCTGGCCCTCCCCGGTGGAACACGCTAAGCGCTACGTCAGAGACCCAGCCACAGAGACATTCACCAGGACATGAACATTTTCTCACTCGTGTCAATGCCTCACTTTGTACAAATCTGCAGAAATTAGTACCGTAAATTAAAAAAATTGTCCTTTAACATATTTTTACTCAAGTAGAAAGTAGTCCTCAGAAAAAAATAAATTTCGCAAAGAGTAAAGAAAAGTATTTGATAAGAAGGTTATTATAAGTTATTGAATAACTAAACTAACATCTGATTTGATAGTTTAAATAAAAATAAGGTTGTGTGCCAAATTTGGTATTTTAAAGTGTATGTATAAAAAAACACAAATAAATAATATAAAATATTAGTTAGAGCAGAAAAAAATACCTCTCTGATATCACCTGCACAATTCTTGCATCCATTGAACTTATGAGTTTGTGGATAGTTTCTGTTTGAATTTATTTTCAGGACAAAAATCATTGTCATCACAGTCTCTCATAAAAGTTGCAGGCCCAATCTGTGAACTTCCAGTTTTAGTAGTCCAGTTTGGACAAAAAATCTCCTTCTTTAGATGGTGGAAGCAATAAATCTCAGAAAACCTTCCCAGAGATGCTGTTTTGATATGAACTGCTTTCCACCCTCAGATCTTCTGCTTGAGGAAACTCCAAAGGTTCTCAGTAAGGTTGAGGTCATTCATATAGCAGCCAATGCTACAGAAGGTACGGCTCTTCTTTTTGAACCATGAAAGAAAGTGATCTGTCAGAAAGTCTATTTACTTTGCTGAGGTCATTTTCGCACCTTCAGAGACTCTGAAGGGGCCGACCAGATCTCTCCCCATGATTTCAGCCCAAAAAATGACTCCACCACCTCCTTGCTGACGTCACATCCGTGTTGGGATGTGGTGGCTATCCACCACCAATCCATTACTGTGTCCATCTGGACCATCCAGGGTTGCACAGCAGTCATCAGTGAACACGTCTGTTGGAAAATTAATCTTCATGTACGGCTGGGCCCACTGCGACCGTTTCTGCTTGTGAGTACTGGATAGGGGTGGCCGAATACTAGGTTTGTGCACCGCAAGCCTCTGGAGGATCTTCCTCCTTGAGGTTCCAGAGGCACCAGCAGCTTCAAATAACTGTTTGCTGTTAAAATGTCTTTCAAGGACATTTTAACAGCTTCTCTCTTAATCCGATGAATTTGTCTAACAATTCATAGTTATTATGCCTGCATCTGTACAAACCCATCTTTGTTCTGAATCAGCCACAAATCTCTTTACAGTACAATAATGCTTCAGTTTTCATTAAATATCTAATGTTTTCATACCTTGTGATACGGCACTACACTATCTGATGATTTGCGTCAGCAGAGAGAACCTTTCTCTTTCCCATATTGCTTGAAACCTGTGGCCTGCTTAATAATGTGGAACATCCTTCTTAAGTAGATTTCCTTTAATTGAGCTCACCAGACAGTGAATCAACCCAGCACTGAAATTAATTATAGTGATTCAAAAAGCCCTGACACACAATACTATCTATAAATTTAATAGCACAACAAAAAAATGTCTTTATAACACTTAAATCCAATTTGCATACTAATTTGGAACACAGTGTATAATTACTTATCCTCCAAATGACAATGCAGATTTAGCAGTTAGACACTTACATTAAACCATGAGGTATAAATGAGAATATTGACTTTGACATTGACTGTCTATGCCTTGTACATTTTTATTTAAAACATTGTTCTTCATTCATGGAGGTTACTTCCGGTAGGTAGAGTAGCCAGAAATTTTACTCAAGTAAGAGTAACATGACTAGGTTACAATACTACTCAAATGAAAGCAAAGAGTATTCCATAGGGAAAGACTCCCAGAAGTCTTTCCCTTTTTTTTAGTTGCAGTGAGAAGATGTAGTTGCAATAGTTACTTTCCATTTCTTCACATCCTTCACCTGGCAATATATATTTAGATCTTAGCAAGCACTCTCCATCCAGTTTGACTGAGACTGAGGTTGCAAAGAGGAATGGACAAAAATGTCCTTCTTTAGATGGTAGAAGCAAATTATTTGCAGCAGTTGTTTCTACAAATGATTGACTTAGATGGGGGAATACAAATGCATGTTGGCTGTCTTCAGATATTTGTTTATGATCCTCTCCACTCCCAGAAAATTGTGTATTATTTCTGTGCACTACTTTGTGTTGATCTACCACCTAAGTTTCTAATAAGTCTCATTGTATAAAAAAGACACACAATAAGACAAAGCTGCAACACAGCTTATATCTTCCTAGTCCTTTCGGTCGCATTTCTTTGTCTTTAATGTGTACATTTCTCTGTCTTGCTGCACTCATTTTTATTTTATAGTATTTGTTAGTCAGTTTACTTTCTTCCACAGCCTTGACCTCTTAGATGTATAAAAACCTTTTTATGAACGCTATAACTGTTTAATCCATAACCCTTTTTCAGTTTATTTCTCTGTCTTTTTTTCAGCAAACTGTTTGTTAAATAAATAGAAATTAAGTCAGGAACACCGTGAAATTTATCTTGATCATAAATTGTCAGTAGAATTCAAGCCGGAAAGTCACATTCTAAAAAGTATCAGCAGAGGGCCCTCTAATTTTAGCAGGGGAAGCTTGCCATAATGGGAGAGTCTGTGAAGTGAGCAGAGCAGTCATATGACAGGTTTGGTTGAGTGCCAGTAGTCGGGTCACCTCTGATGCACTCTGGGAGAATAGGTGTTATAGTGATTTGAAAAATACAATTAAAATTCAGAGATTGAAATCTGCCTATGTCTGACTCGAGATATCAAAAGTTATTGTTTTCTACTAAAACTGGAAGTGCACAGATAGGGCCTGCATCTTTTATGAGAGACTATAATGACAAAATAGGGAGACAGGGGTCAGCGACAATTGCATAATCCTTTATGTTTGACAATAGTCCTTGAAGACTCAGTCAGTTAACATGTCTGCGCACACTCCTTTAGATTTTCTCAGATGTCAAAGTATCAACCCCAAGGTCAGGTCACTATGCTTAACTCTCGTCCAGACTCATACCAGAAAACTCCACAGAGCTCTGAAGTTCAGAGGAGGACATGACTTTTTGATAGGACACGGTGGGGGTTTTTCTCACATCAGTATGCACGGTGCAAATGTTTCATTTAAAGTCAGCTGAGGCTTTCATCAGTCTTCGGGTTGAATTTAAGAGTGTTGGAGAATGCTATTATTACTGTTCTTACTGGTAGGTTTCAGCTATTGTCTCCTAAAACAATTGCAGGAACTAACCCTTTTTACTAGTAGGAATTAAGAACATTCTTTGATGCTATGGAACTTAATTGGCATCAAAACAAATTCAACATACTAGACTGCTGAGAATAAAATATCTAAAAATATATATTCTAATTGTCTGAAGGTTGGATATGATGCAGATGCTCCATCTGCTGGGGTTCACAGAGAAGCAGTGCTAATCTGTTGGTGAGCCTGCACTGACCTCTGCTGGCTCAAATTCACAAGATTCATTATAATGTGCGCTGCTTTTGGCGGTACCTTGCAAAATGCAATGAAATTATGTTGTAAATTGCTGCAAGGGATGTAATCTTTTCAATTGATATTTCACTCTATTTTTATTTACTTAAATTTCACTAAACGTTTACAAACAATGCTTCATAATGTGATGACTGATACTTTGACAGTGATCTATTGCTACTATTTATTTATTTATTTATTTATTTATTTAGTTAGTTAGTTAGTTAGTTAGTTAGTTAGTTAGTTAGTTAGTTAGTTAGTTAGTTAGTTAGTTAGTTAGTTTCAGGGATATTTTATTGCTACTACTCATAGGAAATATGGTTTGACTATGAGATCCTCAGCCATTAAAGTTTTTTTTAAACATGTTTTAATTTTTTTGTTCATTTTTTTATGAGGTTATTTTCTTAGTGGGGAAATGTTGATTGCAACATTGCAAGTTAGTGATTTCTTTGTGAAACAGGCTGTTGGAAGAATAACAGAATGGTAAAAAGTAATACATAAACTGAAGTTATTGCATATAACCAAGCAAGAGCAAATCATATAAAAATGCAATGTTCATAATTGAATGGCATAAGTGAATCAGACATCTGCTTCTCTATTGCATGCATCTTAACCCTCAGTTATATTTCAATAACGAATAAATATTTTTTTTTATTTCACGCAGTTTGTCCACAAAATTAGACAGCTCTTGTGATATTGTAAACAAACAAACAAATAAAAACCGGTATTATTAATATTATTATACATCAGACATGGGTCAGGCACAATACAACGGATCACCAAAATGATTCGTTGTTTTTCAGTGCCATTGACATGGAGAGGCCCAATGAGCTAGCTCTTTATTGCGGCAGTGGGCGGTACTTCCTCTGCGTATTACGTATCTGTGCGTAGCAGACGAGCTTTTTTGTAACAAGTTGTTTAACCTGCTCTTCTGGTGCTGGTTTGCTGGACAGACTTGAACAGAGCCCGCTATTCCTTTTTCATCCATTGGAGAACATCGATAGCAAAGCAATGGAGGCAATCACCGCGACAAGGTCATTTTTGCTCGAGTACCCTAAAACTTTTGCTTTGGTCACCCTTACAGGTAACGTGCTGGCGTCCCGAGTCTTTATTTATATATTGTTTTCAATAAACCACTTACTTATAAATAATATTCAGTCGTGTATCGCATCCGTGTTTTAGCAACTTGGCTATGCCCCAAAAATACATTTATTGAAATACACGAACTTCCGAAGCTTGCAGAGTAAAGGGAGAACGGTATTCGATTGTTTTTCTTTATATATTTATTATGTCATGATAATTATCTGATGGATGGAAACATGGCACACAAGGTTAACAAAAAATGCTAACTACACTTCGAGGACGTCTTTTAACAGCTGGTACGTTCCTTGACAGTCAGCCGGCGCGCGAGTCGGCCAGTGACACGAGCGGTAATTATGGAGTTTTTGTGAACGAAAACAAACACTTTGCCTTAAATGAGATACCTAGTACAGCAGTATGCTCACTATATGATTAAGTCGTTGACTACAAATGTGCGAGTCTTAAACATATATTTCCAGAGATCGCGTGTTTTACACATGTTGCAGTTAGATATCGACTCAAATGACTTTAAAACAAAAATAGATAATCTTTTTATACTTATACCAACAATACGGTTGGAGTTTGTTTTTTCTGCATTCAGCGTCGTATTTCAACAATGTAAATTCTAACTTTAGTCTCCTCCCACACTGTACACTACTCTGTGTACCGGCTAGAAAATGGTGCGTGCTTGGTCAGACCTGTCAGGGAGGTTGTTCATACTTTGTTTCGTACGGTTTTGTAATTGGCTTATCACCGGAGCAAGAATACTGAGGCATTTTACATAAATAATTTCTGTAATCACTAATGTTGGGCAATACAGTAGGCTAGTTGCTCACTAATTAAACAGGTCAAATGTCAGATCAAATGTCATTGTTTATAATTGTGTACATGATTTTTTTTTCACGTGTCGTTTCACCAGGGTGGAATGTCCCACTGAGCAAAATAGGGGTCTACACGACTGTCTTCAATAACAAAATGTATGCAGGAGGAAAATTCTAAATATTTTAAAAAATCCTGGACACACAAAAAATATAATAATACTAACTCACTCTTTAAAACAGCAGTTCAGACAGCTTGCTCTTGGTTAGTTTTCCTTGAAAATGCAAGCTGACTTATTTTTCTTAGTCAAAGAAATTGCCCCAAGTTATTTGAATTTAACCAAGAGCTCAAAATTCAAAACAATACATTTTCATATTATGAAAAGATGGGACAAGACTTTGATGAAATACAGGTTTGTTATGGTCCATATACATTGCAAGAAAGATAAACATTTTTTTTCTTCACTCTCTGAAATTAAATCAGTCTAAGTTACTCTTGTTTTAGGTTAGTTATGATTACCTAAAATATTTTTTATTTGCTAAGTGCCACCTAGGTTTAAATTCAGAACTTTAAATCAGAAATAATTTGGGATATAATTTAGGGTTACTCTCTCAAACAATGAATTTGTTTTCATCCAAACAAATTCATTGTTTGGATGAAACAATAAATTTCTGGGGATGCTTCTATTATTATTACTTATTTTTATCTTTTCTTTAAGAAGCCAGTTGCTTGTTAATATTGCTGCAACCCTTGTATTTCTCAGTTACTCTTTTCTTTTCAGGCTTTAAAATTTTCACTTTTTTCCTCCAAATGTAGTAATAGTCATTGTGATCAGAGTGTTTAGTATTTTGCATCAAATCAGTGAACTTTTTTCATAACTAAGATCTTTGCCCCAGTGTGCATAACCTGGCTTTGCTTTTGGGGAAATGGCTTGTCCATTTTTGAGTGGCCTTTCAGCCCATGACAGCACAAGCCTCAATGTGCTGCAGACGATGACATTTACCAGTTTCACTTAGTTTCTTATCTTGTGTTTTCTTTAGTTTTGTGGTCGACATACACATTTTGCATCATGCTTTTCAAAGATAAACATGACGCCTTCAGGCGTCTGGATATTATATTAGAAGCTTACCATTATATGGCATCATTGTCTGTTTTTTTTTTTTTAATGGCTTAGTAATCTTAATTATGTACAGATCTAATTTTGAAGGAAGTACTAAGGGATGGAATAGTTTTTAGATTTATTTTTGGTAACTATCTGGACATTTTTTCTACAGGAGTGAGTTTGTTTGGATTTAAAAAATGGATGGCCGGGGGTGTGTGTCGCAGCAAAGCCCGCTTAGATGGAAAGACTGTCCTGATCACCGGGGCCAACACTGGAATCGGCAAAGAGACTGCCGTTGACCTGGCCGGAAGAGGTTAACATTTTACTTTGATGTTAAATGTTGTGAGAAATACACAGTTCTGTTTAATATTATGGCTTGTGCTTTTGTGTAACAGGTGCGAGGGTAATCCTGGCCTGCAGAGACATGGACAGAGCTAACAACGCTGCAGAGGAAGTGAAAAAGAAGAGCGGAAATAACAATGTTGTTGTCAAAAAGTTGGATTTGGCTTCCCTGCAGTCAGTGCGTCTGTTTGCAAAAGACATTTCAGCAAGTGAAAAGCGTCTGGATGTTCTCATCAATAATGCAGGTGGCTAATGACTCAAATCTGACTTGATCAGGGTTGTTTCATCTTCAACAGCTGGTAGACGTTTCTGTGGTTAAGTAAATAAATCATTGCTCTTATCTTTAGGGATTATGGCCTGCCCACAATGGAAAACTGAAGATGGGTTTGATATGCAGTTTGGTGTGAATCATCTTGGCCATTTCCTTCTAACAAACTGCCTCTTGGATCTCCTAAAGCAGTCGGCACCAAGCCGCATTGTCAATGTTTCCAGTTTAGCACATGAAAGAGGTGAAGTTCTTTTCTCCTGTTTGCCATGCTGTGAAATCTTTCACTGGTTCTTTTATGTTTTACATCTTTGAAGTTCTTCAAATGAGAATGTCCTGTCTTTATTTCACAGGTCAAATCAACTTTGATGATATAAATCAGGAGAAAAACTATAATCCTTGGAGAAGCTACTCTCAAAGTAAACTTGCCAATGTCCTCTTTACAAGGGAGCTGAGTAAAAGGTTACAAGGTACTAAGCTCTTTTTCTGCTGGCTTTAACAATAATGTATTTTCAGATTTTTATTCCAGCATACAGATAACAACATATATTGCAAAGATGGTTTAAAAGTTATGAAATAAATTCCTTTTTGCTGTAATATTGTAAATTAAAATGTTATTTTCTCTATTAAGTAGCAAAAAATGCAACATTATTATTATTATCATCATTCATTTAGCTTCTCTTTGATGCAATTGGCCAATTGCATCAGAGCAGCCACTGTACTGTCATTTTAGACATATTTTGAATATCAAGAGAAATTGGCCTTTGTGTATATCCTATAATAATTGTACACAAAGGAAGACATGTAATACTAACTTAAAAAAAAAATAACACAAATATGTCATTACCATTTATTTTATTGGACCTATTTGAGATTTCTTATATCACCAAAATCTTTTGTTCCCCTTCTAAATAATAGTAATGAGTGAGGTATAAAATATGTAATTTAAGATTGATTTTAAGTTTTTTTTTTTTTTTTCCAAGCTTCTTTATGAGGGTAAATACATTGAGGGCATCATGGTGTCTTTATTTAGGTACTGGAGTAACAACGTACAGCCTCCACCCTGGAGTTATTCGCACTGAGCTTGGCCGACACTTCTTGCCCACCATACCCCTGTGGAAGAAAGTGTTGTACAAACCATTCAGCTTCTTCATTAAGAATCCCACAGAGGGCGCACAAACCACTATCTACTGTGCAGTGGAGAAAAGCCTGGAAAATGAGAGTGGATTGTACTACAGGTCAGTCACTCATCATCTTTAATTCAACTGTCTGTATCAATATTGCAGCATCTAATTTAATGAAGCTTTATCAAATGTGAAGTAAACACAGCATCAGAATCAAACTGATTTTGCTGACCGACTGATCTTATTTTATGCTACTAGTGGTGCTTTTTGTGTCATCTTAAAGTAAGTACGATCTAGATCATTAGGACCTAACATTAAAATTTGATCTGGATATGTGTTGCACATTTTCTAGTAACTGTTTGTCTATGTATCAAATGTTATTTTCTTCGATCAAAACTATAATAAACTAGTTCATTTTGCTGAAAAAAAAATCTAAAATGAGAATAAAATGACTAAATCTATGATTTTTATAAATGATTGCTACAACTTTGCGTCTGCACGTTATTTCACAATATTTAAATATTTTATGTTCAGTAGCATATTTATTAAAGATTCAATAAAACCTAAAATAAATTCACTATAAATAAAAAAAAGTACTAGCTTTAGAATTTGATTTATGTTTTTTTTCAGTCTGTCTAATGTCCTGATCAGTAGTGCTTTTAATCAAGCACAGCAAACGGCAACAGTAACCTTCATTGAGAATTAGGAGCCTTGTCATGATGAATTTCACTCAGCATTCATTTTGCTTTGCACTCTGTTTTGCTCTCTGTTAACTCCCAAGGGATATTTGCGCCTTTTCAGGTTGCTGCTTTATGATCACCATCAAATGTGTTGACATTGTATGTCATCCAAGTGGTGCTTTCTAGGCCAGGTACAATGGGTGCAGCAGAGCTTTCTTAGCACAAAATAACTGCTTGCTGAGTTGATGAGAGCAAAGCTGTGGGCTGGAAAACCAAAGCAATTATCTGCAACGCATTTAAAGAAAGTGTAAAGGTGAAGCACATTACAGAGGTGGTTGATAAGTACCTATAAGAAAAGCTCTTTCACAATATGCAGATATTGTAGAAGTAGGTGCATCAACATCAATGTAAAGAAAAAAAGACTAAGTAAAGAAGATCCATTTTTAAAAGCGATTTCTCAATTTCTTACCTTTCTAAGGTGTGTGGAAAAAAACTATTTCATGCCACAATTTTATTACTAAAAAATATTAACCATTTTTCATTCCTCTCCACCTATATTGACCACTTTGTGTTTGTCTATCACATAAGTCCCAGTAACTGCACTGATACTTGTTGTAGCCGTGAGGTAAAGATACTTCAGGGATGCCATAAAATGTAATAGCATATAATATAATAACCACTATTTATACTATAAAATAGGCATTTGCTTTTATTAGTTAAACCTAACACTCTTGCACTTCATTAATGGCTGTTTAGTAATTAAGTATTTGTCTCCATCTTGCTCTTTGCAAATTTAAAAGGGCCCAACTTCTCATTAACTTGTTTTGATCCCCACTGTCTATAAATCTAATAAACTCAATGATCTTCCTAATGGACTAAACACAAGGAAAATATTGACTGGATGTTGGATTGTGAGGAAAGAAAGAACTGTCTTACAGACAATGATATATTTACTTATTAAATTTACAAACTCTCTTTACCAAGAGGTGGATGAATAACCATCATTATCTTGAACAAATATTACTTTATTACTTTGTAAATTACTGCTTGGTTGCCAGTTATTTTCATTTACTGCAGAATGATTAACTTACTCATGCGTACTTGTGTGAATTAAGTCATGTGTATAACATCCAATTCCTTCCCTGATTACTGCAGCGACTGTGCCCGTAAAGCTACCGCCCCTCAGGGGCGTGATGATGAAGTTGCCAAGAAGCTGTGGGATCTGAGCGCCTCCATGGTGGGTCTGACACAGTCAGAGTGACGCACATAATGGTGGCGATGGCTGAGGTTGTCTTTGCGGCACCGAACTCATCGCAAAGCCACTCCAACAATGAAACGGCAGTCATTCTGGGGAGCAACAATGTGACTTTTAACAAATAAGTTGGCTAGCAAAACACAGGAGTTCATGTTTGATAGACATTTATTTAGAATGTACAACAAACTACTTGCAAAAATACTATCTATTAAGCTATGTTGTATTTTCTCTGTTTAAAAAGTAGCACTGCTTCACAGATAAGTTACATGGAAGCTGAATGATCCTTAAATTGTCATTAAATGACATTTCACCAGTGTCTGTGGACTGGGAATTTATATATTATCTGCTTTTACATGAAAAAAACATTTAAGACGTGAGGTTTCGTTAGACTTTCTTTTTTCAACACTTTTTTTATGAGCATTCAAATATCTTAACCTATTGTCTTGCCTATAAGGCATAATGTTGATTAATACCATGTTCACTCATTCTTTGTCCTTGTTTCTTACTTTATGTCAAATGAATAACATTGCTAAAGGGTAGTTCAATATTTTTGAAGTGAGAGTCTGCTGAGCAGTAAATATCTTTATAATGTCAAAATTCATCCTAAGTCAACTAAGCCATGATCCATAATGTCACAAACAACACAAACGTTAGCCACAAGTGTTTCACACGGGAAGATAATTTGTGGCACACAACCTCCAGCTTTGATTTATTATTATTATATTCTTTGTAAATTAACTTTAGCATGTTTGTAAATAACTGTCCAGTGCAAACTTAATGGCAGCTTACAAGTTGATGATATATATTACTAGCTTAAAATTGCTATGACATTTTATCGATTTTAGTTCTTTTCTCTTAAGATTACCATTTAACTTCACCCTCAGAAATCTAATCTGGATTTGTACTTAATAAAGACAAAGAGAATTATCATCTTCAGGTGAGAAAATAATTACTATCCCTTTAACAGAATATCACTTCAAAAATTCAATAGGACTATCCTTATAAATGCATGAACATAAATGAATTGCCTTCATAAAATAAATATATCTGTTCATTTGTCTTTTTGTTTCCTTTGCTTGAAGGCACTTTTTACACAATTGCTACAAACAGTCAGGTTTCATCCCATTCAAAGCTACATCTATCTCAGAGAAGTGTGTCACTCCTGTATCTTTTTCCAGAGAAATTATTATTTCCATATGCACAAAGTTTACCCAAGTGGCCTGCTGGCTACAAAATGAACCCTGCTATGTTTCTTACAAATTATATGATCATGGTAAAGAGCATTTGGCAAAAAGGGTACCATGTATTCACATTTACATTCAAAAGTAATACATACACAGGGAATGTTGTAAAGATAATCCTTATTCTGGGTGTAACCCTGGAAAGAAATCTATCTATTGCTTAGATTCAATATATATTCATGTAGATTTATTTGTTTTAAATTCTACATTATTCAACATCTAGTTAGCATTGTGTACACACAGCTGAACCTAAGGATGTACTTCTGTGCTTTTGTTTCTACTACCACAGTATTTGCTGCATTACCATCTTACCTAACTAATGTGGAGGCTCCTCAAAATCATAAAGCTGTTTCATCTGTTCCACTTGCATAGAGTGCCTTCTTATAAGTTTCTTCTTTGACTTAAGACCTGTTTTTAGTGTGTTTGGTGCTACTGGAGCTATAGATTTAATACCTGCTAGAAGGGGTGAAGAGGGCTTGTTACTGGCCCCAATATCAGGAATGGGTGGATTTGGGTTAACATTGAGAGGGGGCAATTGACCGGGCCTAGTGTGGGAGATGTAGTCCAATAATAGTGTGCCAGAGCCTCTCCTCTCCAGGAGGCCAGGTGGACGCCTTCGCGCCGTGCTTGGAGAGGAGGTGCTCGCATTGCTATCAAGAGATTCTCTAGAACTTGTGAGCATGGCAAGAGGAGAAGTGTTTAGTTTCCTTCGCTCCACTGGGACTTTAGGAGAGTCTAACATGGCAGAGTCTGAGTACAGCTGCGAGTCTGAGTCATAGTGATCATTTCCCAGACGTCTCCTGTGCAACGTGTCTCTGAGGCTGACTTGTCCACTGCTGGAGCTGCTGCCGTTCTCCTGCTCTGTGGGCACGGTACTGCGGCGAGCCAGCGGCTGGTGCTGTCCGAGAGATCTTTCGTATGACGGCTTAGATGTTGGCGGCACTGATAATGAGGTTGTCATTTTGCATGGTTGGTCTCCCACCAGTGGGAAAAGGCTATCCTTCCCATCCACGCTGTTCTGTCGGGACAAAGTGGATCTCTTATTCAGAGATAGTCCATTCACCCCGGCAACAACATCTTCATCAGAGCTGGCTTTCTTACTCTCCTCATGGGCAGCAGCTGCAGCAAGGACAGAGGGTGCAATCAGGCCCCAGGGTTCTGATTGCAGCCGCTTCAACTGAGGCAAACGCGCTCGCTTCGGGTTTGCGGGCCGGCGACTTGGAGATGTGGGTCCATTTGTGAGCTTTGATGCTGTGACAGAAGTTTTTAGCTTTGTCTGGAAGCTGAAGACTGTGTTTTGTTGCTCTTGCTCAGACGTGGAAGATGCAGTGATGTTAACGTCAGAGGGAGAGGCGCAGTATTCTGGAGATGACCTCTCAATCAACTCTGGAGATGGCGGCACATTTAGATACTGCTTGGTAGTTTTAGTGCCGGATGGTGACTTGTCTGTAGTGATGATGATTACTTCCTTTCCTTTAGCTTTGCATGTATCCAAAAGCAACTTTAATGTCTTCTTGTCGTCCGCATTGATGGCATAGACCAGAGCTGAGGCCCCACTCCTGTCCTCCAGACTGGGATCAGCACCGTTGCTTAGCAGATGGTCCACCACCTCGTGCCCAGCCTTATGAATGCAGGCATGCATTAGGGCTGTCCTGCCCACCTTGTCCTGTATGTTTGGGTCTGCTTGGTTGTCCAGCAGATATTTGACAAGCTTTGACTTTGTCACACATTGCTGGTCAGAGTGTGTCGACATGCAGGCCACCATGAGAGGCGTCTCTCCACGTTCATTGCTTTCATTGATGTATGCGCCTCCTTCCAACAGGAGCCGAGTGAGTCTTAAACGTTTGAGCCACACTGCCTTCAGGAGAGAGTTTCCATCTGTGCGCAGCTCCAAAATGTCTGCCATATCCCCAACTTGTTGCAGGTCCTCTTTGTGTTGAATTTACAGCTCACAGACCTTTGAAGAAAGTGTGGAATTAGTTCAGCATTCAACATTTTTGCAAAATTTTGAAGAGAGGATTCACAGGGCTATCTGTGAAAATATCTGTGTAAAAATCTGAGTTAACCCTTAATCGGTAGTGATTCTCAGAAGAATGGTACGCAGATTCATTAAAAAAATAAGGAAGTAGCTCTTTAATCAAAACTCAATCTGAAGCTGCCAAAAAAAAATTCTACTTACCTAATTACCTCCTGAGAGTCACACTGCTCTTTATACCAACTCTGTTCTTTATTAAACTGACATGCAAAATAAGCAAAAGAAAACATGTTGGGAGTTACTGACTTTTTAATGTCCTGGCTGCTTCCCCAAGACTTTGCCACCCTGGGCAATTAGCCATATCACTTGTATTAAAAATTGTCTTAAACTAAAATAAGACGGAAAGACAGATCTTCTATTAAAATAGTCCATCCAAAAAACATTGTCTTTTCACTGACTTATCTTGCTCATATATAAATATCTTATGTATGAATTTAGTATGCTTTTTTTTGTGAATTTGCGTACATTATAGCCAAAGCAAACTACCTCACATTCTCAAAGACTGGGAATGTTCGTGTCATGCAGATTGTGGGGAAGAAATCTCATCTTCTAAAAGTTGATGGTAATTTTGGAGCAGGAGAAAAAGTAAACGACGGTACACAATAACAATCACGGGAAATATCTATGATTCAAGTCATGGGATGTTCTGAGATTTTTCACATGCAGAGGCATAACTGTATTTGTTAACACAATTCAAATGAATCCATTAAAGTGATACACAATTCCTCTGATATTCACAATCAACAGCATCATGTTTTAAAAGTAAATCTTGATTTCTGTTGTCGCATTTTCTTCTTTATGTTTCTAGGAATGCCTGTTCAAGAAAATGACTGTACTTCTGTGTGACTTTAAATAGCTCACAAGTAAAAAAAAAAATATCTCTTTGTCTTTAAAAATAAATTTATTTTGTTGTATTTGTCATGAGGGAGAGGACAATTGTAATCTGAGACAGATATAGGTGATAACATCTGCTTTCTATGTGTTTAATACAACCATCTTTGTGCAGAAACAAAGCAAAACAATACCAAAAAAATTATGGAAATTGAATTCAACTTCTCTCAGTTTATTTAATACTTAACTTACATTTTCACAACCAGTAGGTGGCAGTCCGATATAACATAAACATTATAAATATAAGTTAATAATATCAAATCTGTTGTAGTAGACGCATTCTTTAGGGTAAATAACAAATCAGAAAGCCTCTTTTATAACATGTAGCTTTTCCATAACTGAGGAGGAGAACAAGGTGACACAACCTGCTAGAGTTCCAAACACAACTGATCTGTAATCAGGTTGTGTAATTTTGTTTAAAAACATTCAAAACTGATAGTTTATCAGTAAAGCAGATTGTCCTGTATTATCATAACCTGTATGGGGAAAAAAAAAAAAAAACAGAAGGAGAAGCAGATGATTAAATTAACCTTATTTCTAGTGAGTCATATGTGTATAAGACGTATACACGTTTCATATCTAAATTTAAAAACAGCATCACAAACATCTGTTGGCATTAAATAACGGAACAGGCAGAGTCGTCGTGATGAACTTGGCAAGAGAGACGCGCTTTGTTATAACCTGAAACAGCTGATTGGATAATCCTCTGTAAAATAATGCAAAGAGGCTATATTTAAATTATATTGCAAAGAACAAGCCGTGTGCATGGGGAATAGATTTTTTATTTCTTTTTCATGGAATGTGAGTCTTGTTTACCAGTCACCCCGCCTCGACGCAAGACAAGGACATAAAGTTCACAAACCTTCAATCGCGATAATTTCTGCTATTGAACAATCTCGGGGACCAACTTCATGCGCTTACCTGCTCGGAGAAGAGCCTCTCCATATTCAGAGTGTTCGGTGCCATCTGAGAGGGTTTGTGCATGGAGGGGCAAATAACTGATTCAAAACACAAAGTTTGTTGCGGTATCCTTTATTTTCCCGGCCGCGGCAGCTCCCATCGATGCGTCCTAGTTTAGGTTACAGTGCGCCGTCCCTCGCTGTCACCACGAGCGCATGATGACGAGCTGTGTGGCTTTTTGTTACGGAGGCGCGCTACATCAGTCCAATGGGGTGTATTCCTTTCACTGCGCACTCAGGGATCACAACCTGGAGATGCGGAGGGTTATAAATAACTTAGTTTCTTGCTTGTTGAATGAAAACGTGTTGTCGCTTGACGTCAGAGGCGCCCGAAATAAACTGCGTCTGATGAAAAACCTCTGTCCTGATCTTTACATCTGAAAGGACGCAAACAAAAACGAGCGCCACCTCCTATTGACATTGCGATTGCTCTGCGTGTATTTCTTTATGATTATAGAGGGAACACCGACGAATGGAAGTAGCAGAAAAGCGTTGTGGACAGCTTATGATAAAAAAAAAAACAAGTGAGCCTTTTCTGGACATCAAAATTATGAATTTATCTGAACTGTAGTTGATTTGCGCTTCAAAATTAACACGTTGCCCCTTCTCCACCACATAAGGACGGAATAACACTGTTTCCTACTAAAGGAAAGATAATCTGCCTGTCTTTGTGAGCCTTCCTATAAGTTCTTTTAGGGTAAAAAAAAAACAACAACAACAAAAAACTGTCCATTTATATTATCAGTAAATAAATTAATTTTGTTAAAACCGATATGCTTAACTCAAACTTTTTGTTTGGCAAAAAATAAAGCTCCCCTCATTGTGATACCCCGAAATAAATTCCAGTGCAATTCCTTTTCTTCAAATTTATTTTGCATTTTGCCACTAAAGTTCACCTGTGTGTAATTATACCTCTGTAAATACAAATTGTCTGTACACACCTCAGAGGCCTGTTAGAGAACATTAATGACCAAACAGACCCAAAAATACCAAGCAAAATTGCAGACAAGTCTGTCATAAAGTTGTAGACATTTAAGTTAGCATGAACATTTTTTTCAACCCAAAATGAGAAGTGACTGGCATAACTGCAGGCCTACCAAGTCATTATCAGGCTTTTAAATTGGCAGCTAAAGAGAGAATCAGTAATAGAGATTAGCTGCAGAAATTGCATCAGTCACGGGAGAGAATCTGACTACAGGACAGCCACACCCCAAAAATATGACTTTGATGCAGGAGTCGGAAGCAGAAAGACATTGCTGAGAGAAACTCATTAGATGAAACCTTTCGAGCTACATAAAAAGCAGTAGGACATAGAATACATCACATTCCAGCCTAAACTTACTAACCCTATAGTTACTCTTCTACAGGAGGAGCAGGAAAGCTGTAAACAGTTGATGGTAAGATGGATACGGCGACTTACAATTCCTAGAAGTAAACTTTTTTATAAGTTGCAGAAAGGCTTGAAACTTGAGTGGATGTTAATTTTCAGAGAACAACCCTGAACTTACAGTGCTATGTCCTGGTTTAGACCAGGGGATGTTTATGGGTTAGATTGGCATATTCAATCTGACAACCATTTTTCAAAAAAGTAAATAGCCAAAATGTCAATCTCTATTGTATTCCGGCAAAGCTGCTGGAGACTCCATACCAAAAAGGCTTAATGTTTTGATTTCACAAAGTATTGCCAGCTGGATCCATATAAAGAATTTAAGAACATATATCCATCTCTTCTCCCATATGCTCTGCTTTGTATTGCTCAATCACATAAAATACCATTGCAATGGCTTGACGCTCTGGTTTTAACACAAAGCATGAAAAAGCTCTAGTGGTGTGAAGACTTTCACTGGGTGCTGCATATTTTTCTACATCTATGTATATTTACAGTGTTCAATTAAAGAGGCTAAAACTTGTAACAGCCATCACCGCCATACAGCCTAATATGGACATTTCTATTTTTAGGTTGCTATGAGACAGCACAGAGGCAGCTTCTAATGAGAACAGTGATGTTCTCAGCACTGCAAGGAACAGGTAAATCAGACCCACAACATACCACCAATGACAGCTGAGCTTTCATGGAATTTTATGGAGATAATCTTTGCAAGTGGCATATTAGTTTTCTTTGAACCATGCTATTTTTCCCTCCCTGACAGGGTCTGATCAGTTTATTACCCATCCAAACACCTGATGTTTCAGGACCTCCAGTTGTCAATGCTTGCAGTGATTTTTCACCTGTGATTGGCTCGCCGGTCCCTCAGGATGTGTTGTTTACAAGGCACATGGAGGTGGTTTTATGAAACAGCACACACCATTATCACTGAGTCAAAAGACACATCTCTCTCCATCCATATTCAAGAAGCATTAAACACAAATGTAGAAGCAAAGAATAGGCACAGCTCCTGTCATGAGTTTACATCTGCTCATCACATGCACAAAAACACTATCTGTGGGATTTTAATGATTTGTTTCAATAGTTTTGGAGGGTTTTTATAAATTCTGTTAATGCAAGTTTGTGATCATTCTTCAATTAGATTCCTCCTACTGTTTGATCCAAATCATAAACCTGAAATAAAAGAAAATATATTCAGATGTTTAAGAACAACCTAAGAATAACCAAACCTCAAGCTGTCTATAAACTAGAAACTGTTGGCTGACATTGTTACCATCCAAAAATGAAGCCAGTCTTAAATTTCGTCTGACAAAGAAGCTGTGATGCAAAATCGAAGCGACTTTAAACTCAATATTTTTAATGACTAAGCTTGTATGTACTCAAGTGGTCAAATATTTTTTATTGAATGAATTGTTGAATGGTTGAATGAATACTGAGCTATTTAGTCTCAGTAACAAGATTTTTTTTTTTTCAAACTGAAGAGCACTGCACAAACTGTCTAGCATGGTGGGGGAAGCATCATACTGTGGGGCTGTTTCATTATAAGTTCTACTGATGAATTTTACAATGAAAAGTAATGAAAATGGAAGATTTCTTTTTTAAAAAAAAACCTGTAACATTACAAAATCTGCAGCCAGCCAGTGTAAACAAAGTTCACCTCAAAAATGCAGCAGTAGCCTACTGGCTAATGTGAAGCTTCTGGAACTGACTTGTTCTCAACTCTGTCTAAATGTACGGGTTATACTTTACACTCTTGTCTGTACCAGGAATCCAAATAATTGATAAGGAACCCAACCAATTCTCAAGCCAGAATTAAACTCAGACAGTTAATGCATTCAGAGCTTCAATGAATAGCTTACGTGCATCTTTGAAAGCCAGGATTAATATGACATTCTTCCACTTAATGTGCATGTGCAAACTTTTGACCAGGTCTTTATTCATCCCTCAGAAATGTATTTAAAATATTCTATGTCTGAAATTATTCTGATTGTTCTGTGTAATACTCTATACATTTAAAAAATGTCTAAATTTTTTGGTATGAAGATATTCAAAATGTATCGTCTGAAAGAAAAACTGATTCCTGATTTAAAAATAAGTTGTGTTGTGCCCTGAGCTGCTGTCTGCAGAGGCTTTGAGCAAGAATTAAGCCAAAGCCAAAGCTCAGAGCTTTAGATGCGTTCATTAGGTCCATGAGCCAGAAACGTCAGCGGATCCTCATATGAGGCGATCTTTGGCCCAACAATGCTGTTGCCAGAGGTAAATTAAAGAGGGAAATAAATAATTTAAACACTGTCACCCCCAGAGAGCCCTTTCCATTTTCAGATATCTTACATCGCAGCTGCTGCTCTTCCTTCCTCCCATTCTAAATATAACCTTTTCTTCTGTCTGCATTGTGAAATTTTTACTCATCAGGCTGGGGTATAGCTCCAGGACTATTTATGCAATGGCTAAGGGACACAGAGAAGTTATCAACGGTTTTCACATTTTGGATTTTCAGAAAGGTCGACAATTTTATAACAAGGTCCAGGAATAAATCAAATGAAAGCAACTTTTAGCTGAACACAATTCCAATCAAAGGATCATAATGAACTATTTCAATTTCCACTTGATTATTCTAATTTTATACTACAGGATCTATTTTTGAAATCACAATGTCTGGCTTCACAGACCTAATTTAGGATGGTGAGAATCAGAGGTGATTTGATCAGCGATGGAGGAACGTGTTAAAACCCACCATATGGTATCTGAACATATTTGATTGTATTCACTTAGCTTTAAAATGGGCGGATGCTTTCTGTCAGAAGGATTTTCCGGGTTTACCTTTTAATTACAAAAAAATAAATAAGAGAGCGCCCAGTTTTCAAAAGTCTGAATATCAAAAAAAGGCATAATGTGTCAACCTTGATAAATAATACATTTAAGATTAGCGACCATTGATTAGTTTTAATCCATCAAAATAATTGAAGGGTGATGTCAAAATCAATGTTTGAGCTTGGCCAACCAAACGCAGCCACTTCTCTTTTTTCACAACTTAATAGTCCTTTTTCTTCACTTTATGTAGAGTGAAGGATGGATTTGAAGGATGGATGGTTTCTCTACATTTTGAATAGAATGTTGTTCCCAGTGTATATGCTTTCATAAGAATTTGCTCACTTTTTGTAAACCCAATGGCATTATTTTTATCTCAACTGTATAAAAAGCTTTTCATGAGAAATCTCAACCAACCAACAACAAAAAAAAAAACAGCTTGCAGGGCCTTCTCTCCAAAGGTGACAAATTTCACCGGCTCTATTTTCAAATACTCCCCAAAAACAAGTGAAAACTGTGAAGATAGCAAATAGCTGTTTTATCGGGAATACGTGTATTGGGAGCAGCAACCTCCTGGAGCCTCCACTGGTTGCTGGGAAACTGCTAGATAGCAAGAAACAGTCTGACACATAACACCCCAAAACTGTTGATTTGTTGTTATTTTTTTACACTTAAGCTTCTTACCTGTTTTACCCTGATTCCACTTTTTGTGCAAAGCTTAGTTAGCCAGTTGCTGTCAGTGACTTCATATCTGACAAGCAGACAGAGGAGGGATGTCTCAGTCTCGTACATGGTCAAATGGTATAAATGATGGAGTTATTTATAGGTTTAAAAGTCAGAAATATTGTGGAAGAATTGCTTACTGTAAATATTCTGATTTTGCAGTGCCCGTCTTCTTTCTCCTGCATTATGAGACAGAGTAGGATTTATCACCTGTAGGGATGAAACCGTGTTGTTTCTTCCTCCATGGT